CATTTGATTATTATCTAAAATTAGATAGTGACTGGTCTTTTTCGTCTGGTTGTAGTCCCTGAAGAGATAATCCTTCGAGGTCGTTCAGCCCGTCAAGTGTTTAATAAAGCGCTCCTAGAGGGGTCAAAGAAGCTAAAGAGGGTACCCATAATGATTGTTGGACAGGGCTGCTCAGGAAAGACTAGTCTTAAGAAATCCTTGAAGGGTGAGCCCTTTGACCCAGAGGAAAACAGTACTGTGATGATGGAGGTCGATCCTTCACATTGCAAAGTGACGACTGAAGTTTGGAAGATAGTGCGACCTAATCAAGCTGCAGATTCAGGCGACAACTCTCTAACTGTGCAAGATGTGTCAGATACAGCACAATTGACTGAGATGTTACAACAAGTACTAGGCAAGGATGACGACGACCAGGAAACCTATGCAACCTTGTGGGATTTTGGCGGACAGTCAGTGTACTATGCGACCAACTCACTTTTTCTGACCAGGAATGCAATCTATTTTCTGGTCTATAATCTAAGCCGTAACCCAGATGACAAAGCTATCCCTTGTGTAAGACAAGGGCTGTTCAAGGTTGTCCAGGACACATTCAGTAACACAACCAATATGCAATATCTTGACTTTTGGATGTCATCAATATCGTGTTTTGCTTCTCAAGATGAAGGTCCCCAAATGAGTGCAGCATCTCAGAAACTGCCACAGAAGTTGCCACCAGTCTTCTTTGTTTGTACTCATGCTGACAAGCCCTACAAGAGAGGCAGTCCTAGAGACCTAGCCCGTGAAATATATGGTAGTTTACGGGAGAAAACGTCTGGTTTGCATTTGCTTGAAGACTTCTTTGTGGTAGACAACACAAAGGCAGGAACTGCAGATGAGTGCCAAGAAGACATAAATCATTTGAAAACGGAAGTACTTGCAGTGGTTGAAGAACTTCCACATCTGAATCAAAGTTGTCCAAAAAAATGGTTCAAGTTTGAGGAGGCACTTGAGGTCATGCGTGAACGTGGCTGGAAGTGGATTCCCATTGGTGAAGCCAGGGAAGTTGCCCTCAAAGTATGCAACATTGTGAATGATAAAGAATTTGTTATACTAATGGCCATGTTGCATGACCAGAGAATTATACTTCACTTTACTGATACTCCTGAATTGCACAAGATGGTCGTCATAAACTTGCAGTGGTTGATTGATGTCTTTAGGAAGGTGATAACCATTGTGCCCTATGAAAGCAGAGAGGGAAAATTTGAAGAACTGTGGCGTAAACTTGAAACAACAGGAATTCTCGAGGAAAACCTTTTAGAACATATGTGGAACCGCACGGAAAGGAAGGCTTCTGAAGGTCTTCTTGCACTTATGGAGAGGTTTAGTTTGTTGTGCCGTTGGCCTTCATCCGATGCTAGCAGATCATGTGAATACCTTGTGCCATCCATGCTGATGTCACCTCCACCAGATGATGTCATGCAGCTGATTGCATCTGTGAAAATTCCTTCACTTTTCCTTAAGTTTGAGTCTGGCCAAGTGCCCCCAAGCCTGTTCCCCCGGCTAGTGGTACAGTTCTTTCAGTGGCTCACTAAAAAATGGCCTGGCCAACAACAGCCTCAGTTGTTCCTCAACTTTGCCAAGTTTTACACCCATCCAGCAGATGAATATTCTGTCATCCTTCTCTGTCATACATCTTCTATTGAGGTTGCTGTTCACAGGGCTCAACTTTCTTCAGATTCCCACAATGAAGGGTTTGATGTGAAGATTACCCGTGATGTGTGTAAACGTCTTAGGTTAATGCTTCAGGTCATGGGTCAGGAGTTAATCTGGATGAAGAACATGCAATTTGAAATGAGTGTCCTCTGCCCAGTGTGTTGTCCAACAGCTGGTACTACTGAAGCTTGCAAATCTCACCAGACAAAAGGGTGTAGGGAAGAGAAGTGTTTGCACTTCTTGTCAGAGTCAGAGCTACACTCTCCAAAACCCGTCATCTGCACCCCAGCCTTCGGTCTCCCTACCAGGGTCCAAGTTTCGTTGTTTAATCATTGGTTCCAACTTCTGGATGAAGAGGTATGTGGATTTTCATTGCATTTTTTAGATGCAATCTTCTCAGTTCTCGTACTTGTAATTTTCTGCATATACACCCCATTACATACATAATTATAACAACTGTGATATATGCTGCTATTTTACATTTTATATATATTTGATATCTTTTAAGTTTTTA